TAAAAGTTTTTTACCATTCGTAGTAATTTTGCGTTCACATCTAAATCAGGAACGAAATCAAAAGGGAACCTTGTATAGCTGTTTTTAGCCCCGTTTGGGATTTTCCGACTTACATTTTCAAAAGTTTTACTATTAATTTGCCTCAAATACCTAAATCATTAAGCACCGTCTTCTCCCATCTCTTTACACTTACTGTTTTTAAGCTAAAACTTACACCATTCAGTTATAAAGTAAGGCTTATTGCCGCTTCTACTGCGTTGCTTTATCATGCTCAACACAAGTCGTTCTAAATTGCTTAAGTTATTACAACAAAAATGTTTTACTTTTCCATTTACTGTGTGCATATCGATGTGAACACATAATTTGATTGTAAGCAGCAATGCTACATACAGTCATCGTCATAAGCCTACTAAAAACTAATACAAAAATGTTTGTTTGAAAATATTTTTTAAACATAAATAATTTATTGAATTCAAATTTAATTTTTCTTACACATGGTTAACAGTAAAAAGACGACGCCAAATTTGTGTGCATACGTTAGCCTAATAAACGTGATAACGACATTTTTATTTTTGAACATAACTATCGAAGCGATCAAAAGTCTACAAGCCTTCAGTACTCAGGATATAGTGCGCCTTACAAATTTTTTGTTAATGTGGTTTTTAGTTGGTTCGACAAAAAAAAGCAATATTAATAAATTTTGGAAAAAAGGGAAATAAAACCACGAAATTGGGTTTTTTGGATTGAATTGCGATTGGAAGATCGTACTGTTCAGTCTAAACCGTGAAAAAACTTCAAATCTACAAGAATTATCACGTGAAAACCTCGATAGTCGTTATCTCTTGATAGTTTCTAAATCACCTTGGATATTAAATTGCATAATTTAAATATTACACAGTAAAAACTTCATAAGTAAAGTTCTTGTACGTAAATTCTTTTTTAAATTTCAGGAGTAAAGAAAAAAACTATTCAAACCGTCTTCGGTGGTTGGTTTTCCTGATTATGGGTGTATCACTCAGAAGGGGTTTTTTAATGAGATGGTTGCGATAAGTGCTTCGTGGAAGAACAACTTTTGTCAGATTTTGTTCATTTTGAAGGACTTCTCTAGGCCACACAACACAAGATATTTCTGAGTGATAGACAAGTTACGTGGAATTTTACGTAAAAAAAATGTCTACAATCAAATGTTGATGCAATATTGAATGTATCTTACTAATGCTACAATAGGTTGTTTAAATCTCACGATATCAGTTTGCTAACAGCATCAAAAACTTCCGGAACAACTGATTTTGGACGAACTTCCCGAAAATCCTCCTGAAATGATCTACAATCTCTATTGAATTCACCATACCACCGATAAAAACTGGTCTTTGATGGAGCTGCCTCATCAAATATTGAATTTAGCTCATTTATGCACTTTTGGTGAACTAATCAACGTCGAAAATTGTAAAAATAATCGCGTGAAATTAAAGTAAAGACTTTAACGTCATATTTAATAAGGATAATACAATTTAGACTAGCTTGTAGACCTATGACGCTGACTGTATGCATTTATGCGCGCAAATATGATTATGTAAATATCTATTCTATATGGTACTTGTCATTAAAATAAAGTACTTATACTTGTAAAAATGTTTCAAACTTGGCCATAGACTGCTAACGTCGCCAAAGAAAAACACCTGTGTCTGTTTTATTATTCTCGGTAACTCTGCTACCGTTTTCCATTAGCATTTTAAAGTACATTAGATATTTTAATTAAGATTTGGTCAATACAATGTGAAGACAACGACAACTGCATGAATCATCATTTTAACCATATCCTACTTACCCTCAACGAGGGTGTTTCACATAAAACTTAATACTGCCTTGATTTTTTCTTTCTAATTCCATCAATGAATGTCAATTTACTAAATTGTTAGCGTTAGTATGTACTACTGTTATCTACACGGTTAGTACGGGTTTTTATGTAAAAAGATGATGCGTGTATGTAAAGTGTATATGTAACAAAAAATTTAAAATCGGATAAATTTATGTATAAGTCTTAAGCATATGCTTGATTATACACATTTCTCTTAGTTTAAATAAAGCAAATTAAAGGTTTTCATCTGCTTTACAATAATACAATATAATGAACAATTTGTATATTCTTGTATCTAGTAGCGTGTTTTAATTTGGCCATTTTCTATTCGTCATTTCTCTTTCATTACGTGCAGTTTTTATATTATTTTAGGCGAATTGAATGTAAAAATTCGAATGCGTTTTCTCAAAACTATGTTTTTTTGAACTGTACCTAGACAAAAGTTCAGTATATTTCAATGAAGTTTGTACAGCTTTTGCCTAGTGCATAGATTATCTATTAATAAAACTTTCGTTTTTGTCCGTTTTTTTTAGATGGATCTCCAAGGGTTAGTGATGGTAATCCCAAGGATCTTCAGTTGGAGCTGAATCAAAACGAAATATCTATCACGTCAAGTAGAAACCTTATTCAATGCTTTTCTGTGTTAACCTTTAAAAAATAAAACAATTTACTGACTAAAAAAAGTATTTAAATTTTTTTTCATGTCTCTGACTGCAACTAACCTTTTACACCAGTTAAGTGCGATCATCATTATTGTCAACAATGAAATATTTTGCTTTGTCTCCATTATTATTATTTTTTTACCATCTCGGCTCTAGCCATAAATTCGGCCCAAATTCTTGCCTTGAGCTCCCCACAAAAAGAATTCTGTTGGAAGTTACTTTGGGATCGGAGTTCAATCAAAGTCATCGCCTGTTCAATACAAAAAACATTGAAATATTTTTATGGACAGACATAATTAGCCAATCCAATTTTAAAATAAAATCGGTGTCAAAGATTCATGAAGTAAAATCAATAGACGTCTCAGCAAGGAAAAATTCGGAAAGATTCCCACCCGTCCAATTAGGTCCATCTTATATAAGAACAATTATAGTTCAAAACTTTATTAAGGGGCTATACCAGTGTAACGCATGAAAAATTAGAAGATTTTCATGAATTAAAAAAAAATGTACTCGATTGACTGTTTGAACTCTTTGTACGTAACAAAGTGTATTTTCAGCTATATTTAAAAAAAAAAATTACAAAAATATTGTAAAATAACGGAGTTAAGGACTGCGTCGAATAAAATTGTCCGTTACATTTTTTTCCATATCGTGCAATTAAAAACTTTAAACAAACAACTTTTTATCTTAGTATCTCTGAAATAAATGCCAAAAAATATTATGTATCCGTTAGTCAATAAAAATTTATTTAACGCGAAAATGGCAAGCGAAGTGGAAGTGCGCGAAAAAGTTATTAAATTTTTTCAAAAGAAACCGCAGTGGTCGTTTAAGAAAATTGCCAAAGAGGTAGGGGCTAACCCTAAAACCATTTCTCGCGTTATTAATCGCTTTAAGGAAGATGCGTATTGACAGAAAGAAAGGTTCTGGCAAAAAGACGGAGCCACATGATCGGGAGAATGCGAAGAACGTTGTTACCATTCTCAAGAAAGACCCAAGCATTTCGGGCAGGAAATTGGCGAGGAAGGCTGGCTGCTCAGAATCTTTCGCACGCACGACGAATATAGAAGTTGAGCTGAAGACGTACACGAAACAGAAAGTTCCGGATAGAAAGAACGAAACGGCAAAACAACGAGCTAAGAAGCTGGGAAATTTTGTCAATAAATTCGAATGCTGAATAATGGATGACGAGACCTACATTTTAGCGGACTTTTCTCAGCTACCTGGACAGGAATTTTATACAGCCGATTTTCGCGGTAATGTTTCTGAAAAATTCAATGCCAAAAAGGTGACAAATTTTCCAAAGAAATTTCTTGTGTGGCAGGCAATTCTCAGTTGTGGCAAAGGAGTAGCTCATTCGTTACATCGGGTACAATCAACAGCGAAATATATGTGAAGGAATGTTTATAAAAGAGATTGCTCCCATTTTTAAGCCAATATGAAGTGTCCACATTTTTTGGCCTGACCCCGCTTCATGTCACTATAGCAAAACAGCCTTAGAGTGGTTCCGAAGGATTGGAGTGATTTATGTACCAAGAGAAGCAAATCCACCTAACTGTCGAGAACTAAGACCGATTGAGAGATACTGGGCTTTAGTAAAATGGTAATGAAGCCAACAAAAAAGTGAAAAGAAAGTGGTCTTCAGCAGCTATGAGAGTATCGGACACTAAAAGCACTAATGGACGGGGTTCCGGAAAAAATAAAATATATAACACATAATTCTTGGTTTATTCGACAGTTTTTCAAATTTAAAGTAAATGTTTATAATAAAATATTTTATTTATATATTTTTTTTAATTTTTGTAACGAACAATTTTATTCGATGCAGTCCTTATATACATACAGTGGTGTTCATATACTTAGCACACATCACTCTATCTAAATGCAAACGATGTTTTCTTCGTAATGTTACAAAATTCAAAGGCGCCAATTTGTCTAGACATGGTCAAGGCATTAATTTCACGATCAGCAGCTTTTGTGAGTGGACACATATTCAGCACACTTCTTAGACTGTCGAAGTTTTTGAAGTTTTAAGAAATATTTATTTTCGAATACAAAAAATTAAAACCGAAGGTTACGGAGTATACGGAATAGAGGTTTCATCTAAAACGATCAGACGTCGTTTGAATGAAGGCGGACTGCGTGGATGCATTTCTCAGAAGAAACCGTCTGTTTCTAAGAAGAACTTGGAGGAACGCCTTTCATTCGCACGAGCCCACATTAACAAACCCCTTTTTTTTAGGAAGAACGTTCTCTGGAGTGACGAATCTAAGTTTTTTAGATTTGGATCTGACGGTAAACGTTACGTCTAGCGCCCCAGTAACCAGCAGCACAATTCTAGGTATACACAAAAAACTGTGAAACATGGAGGAGGAGGAAATATTATGGTGTGGGCGGCTTTTTCTTGGCACGGTGTTGGACCTATCCTTAGGATAACATCAAAAGTGGATCAATTTTGTACAAGAACATGTTAACAGAATACATGATTCCATTTGTTGACGACCATATGCCTCTAAGGTGGCACTTCTTGCATGATAATGACTCCAAACATACTTCGCGTTTGGTGAAATATTTCTTGGAGGCCAGCGGCCAGCTCAGTCACCTGATCTCAATCCAATTGAGAATTTGTGGAGTGAAGTTGACAGAAGTATTGAGAGCAAAAAACCCAAAAGTTAGAAGAATTATGGCAGAACATCAAAAGTGCATGGTTGAATATACCGCCGTTTCGAGAAAAACGCGTTTGAAGTTTCACCATGTTTGTACCTGCGAGCTGCCATCCAAAACATACATAAATTGACAAAAAAAACTATTTTCTTTCTCTCTAGCTTGTCAGCTGGCAGCGCACCCTGATCTTTTTTCTGAGCTAGCAACGAAATCAACACAATCAGGGTATCGTCTATCAGCAGTTAGTGAAAAAGGCGGGATGCCAGAAGAATAACGCTAAAACGAACTGCCAAAATTAGTGCATTTTGCATACCTCAGTGGTAGTGTGGAAATTGCAAAATACCAAAAAGTTATTTATAAAATGCCCAATGTAATATTTTTCAGCAGTGGCATCATCGGCAAATATTATTAAAAAAAATCTGAGTTTTGACCGCTCTCTCTCGAATCAAAGAGTTTCGTATTAATTTATCTATGAATCAAAAAACTATGAATCGAAGAAGCAAAAAAACAAATATTTTTACTGTCACACTGGTAAAGCAAAGCTCATTAAGCAAAGTATTTTAAAATTCAAGTCAAAAATATATGTCACAATTTTCAAAACTTAAAGATATTGCTCTTAGATTCTTTATTTCAGCCCTCAACAATTTAGGAACACTAGTAACTAATAGCCGTGACAGACGAGCAGAATTAATGCGCCTTAAGCAAGGATAATGCTCATAGAGATTGTATGGTGAGAGACGGCAGAGTTGTGCATTTAGACAGCTGACAGTGAACTTTGTTTATTTATTAAAAAAAAAAAGTAAAATAAAAATCAATACGATAAATTATTAATAGAAATCTTGGTATTTTTGAAAAATCAATATAAATTTAACGAAGAAATTCGTTTGTTATTAAGAACGTTAAAAGATAATAAAGTGAAATTAAAAGCAATAATTGATTGTAATGCGGAAAAAGTGTGCGAAAAAGTTAAGAATATTGGAAAAATTGATAGCAACCTGTGCGTTATTTTCTGCCATCTAAAAATATTCAAATTTGTGTTTGTTAATATACTTGCACATAATTTAATTAGAAATATAAAAATTGTTTACATCTGATGCTGTAAACACAAATAAGGCGGCGATTTCAAGCGATTTCTGTCAGACAATACCATTTTTGGGCAGTGTTGCCTACTCAAATTTGGTAAATTCAGCTAAATGCTTGAATTTTTTGTGCATTACTAACTTGCATTAACATTGGTAAAATGAGCAAGTTAATTAAAATTAAACCCGCTAATGCAAATTAGCGCTGTCGTCTGTTAGGGCTATAACAATGGAATAACGATTTTATATGAATTACTCCTTAGAAAACAGTTCTAGCGTTTTTATACCAGTTGAGCAGTTACAACTCCACTGTTTATTCAATATGAAAAATGTCTTTAAGAGTATATTATTTTCTTAATATTACTGTTAATTTTATATTATTTTATTACATTGTGTTATATATAATATATATATTACTGCGATTATATAGGCTGAAGTCCCTCTTGTATGTATAAAACAAAGTCTCACAGAGTGGTATTTAAGTTTTACATGTTACAAACAATGCAGCTTGTAATATTTTTTAAGCAGATTTTCTGAAGACATACCACCAGTATAGCCCATCACTTAAATCTGATTAAGTCTACATACAAACTAGGCATTTATTAGATTACATATTTATGTGTATTGGTCCTAATTATTAAAATGTCTTCCATTATGTTGCTGCCATTATAAGTAATTACACAATAGATACAAAAATGACCTACAAGAACGATGTCATACATAAATAGTAAATGTTAATGGCATAGATATATATATATATACAGTCTTGTACAAAATAATATGGGTTTTCTTTTTTTCTGTTTATTTTTTCATATTATAAATGTTTGCCCTTTAATTAGAATAAACTAAATGCTCCCTTTAGTAGACAGTAGATTATACAAATACTGCGTATGACGTGAAAAGTTGCGGTTTTCGCTAATATAAAATTTATTAATTTTCATAGTAAATATTAGCAAACTCATGCTGAAAGTTGTGATAATCATAAGTCATATACAGATAAATTTTACAACAGATTGCTGAAATTCAATCCTAATCAAATTTGATCAGATGGTACAACAATTTCAGGCCTGGCATAAATAAGCTTGGAGATTCGCAATATTTGCTGAAAGGGAATCAGGTGTATACGTTCTAACCGAGACAAAAGAGCATTATAAAATTATATGGTTCATTCAATTAGCTGACTGTCGACGGATAGGTGCAATTATCATAGTGACTTTTTTCTTGTGATTTTTGGGTATTCCCATTTGTGCGGTCATATAATATGTTTACCCAGGGGGAAATAAGTGGTTTGGTGTTCAGGGCCACAAACTTCGAAGAAGAACCACGAATGGGCTGATGGAGCTTGCCTAAAAATTTGAAGTACTCCTAATGGCGGTCACTAACGAGAATTCCCGTATTCGCGGACGAGTTGACGCTCTTGGAGAATGTTTGGGCAGGTACTGGAAAGGTCAATGCCGGCTTCATTGGTGCCGATAGCTACGCCCCCAGCACTAGTGAGGCTTGTTTGATC